CGGGTGCAGTCTCAGTGTGCGCCATGCTGGGAGTTGGGAGCTTTATGTGACAGTCAGAATCCCGGGGAAAGCACATTTCAGGTGTTGCTAATGGAGAGAGAGCTTGGCCAAGAGCAGACTGATTTAAAACCGACGTTAGGCTGTTCTCTGATAAACTTGCAGGACTGCCTGGGAGGCAGAGAAAATTCGCTTTCTTTCTGGTGAAACTAGAAATGTGTGCGTGCGCATGTGTGTATGTGTGTGAGTGTGTGTATGTGTGTGTATGAGAGTGTGCGTGTGTGTATGAGTGTGTATATGTGTGTATGTGTGTGAGTGTGCATGTGTGTGAGTGCGTGTGTGTGTATGTGCATGTGTATGAGTGTGTATATGTGTGTATGTGTGAGAGTACGTGTATGTGTGTGAGTGTGCATATGTGTGTATGTGTGTAAGTGTGCGTGCATGTTAGTGTGAGTGTGTGTGTTCTTTCATTCACAGGTGTGGAATATAAAGGAAGGTTTCTAAGAGGTTGTGAATGTCTGATAATAGGAGGGTGGATAAATAAGATCGAGGCCATTGATATGGAGAAGAACTACAGGGAGATTAGGAGGCGTGACCTAGCGCTGTGCGTCTCAATGTGTGCAGCTCTCACACATCCTGTGGAGTGAGAAGAGAAGCTGCAGAGTGGGCACTGATGTAAATTTAAAGCCCCCACGAGGGAGGATTCTGGAAAGATGATGGTTGGGGCAGCAGATTTGGAATTTCTTTGAATCTCGAACAATTTCTCTCTCTCTCTCTCTCTGACATAAAACAACTCAAACCAAGATTGGTGATATTCAGGGCACCATCTTGGCTCCTTCTGACTCATAATAGGAAATTTGTGCGTGCATGTTAGTGTGAGTGTGTGTGTTCTTTCATTCACAGGTGTGGAATATAAAGGAAGGTTTCTAAGAGGTTGTGAATGTCTGATAATAGGAGGGTGGATAAATAAGATCGAGGCCATTGATATGGAGAAGAACTACAGGGAGATTAGGAGGCGTGACCTAGCGCTGTGCGTCTCAGTGTGTGCAGCTCTCACACATCCTGTGGAGAAGAGAAGCTGCAGAGTGGGCACTGATGTAAATTTAAAGCCCCCACGAGGGAGGATTCTGGAAAGATGATGGTTGGGGCAGCAGATTTGGAATTTCTTTGAATCTCGAACAATTTCTCTCTCTCTCTCTCTCTGACATAAAACAACTCAAACCAAGATTGGTGATATTCAGGGCACCATCTTGGCTCCTTCTGACTCATAATAGGAAATTTCAGAGGCTGTTGCGGAGAGAGAGAGAGAGAGAGAGAGAGAGAGAGAGAGAGAGAGAGAGAAATTTGATAGGAAAACCAAAAACCACAGACAATAGTTACAATAAAACTAGGTATCTCCCAGTACCCTGACATACAATTAGACAAGGTAAAACCATCCAGAGCCACATGCCCTGTGGGTTATGAACGTCTATGTGGGAGAAAGTAGAGGGAAACAATGGGATGTCAGATGAACCCAAGAACAGGAGAATCCCCGAATAACCCAGAGGTGTGGGCTGGGAGGCGCGGTGGGCAGATTTGGAATTTCTTTGAATCTCGAACAATTTCTCTCTCTCTCTCTCTCTGACATAAAACAACTCAAACCAAGATTGGTGATATTCAGGGCACCATCTTGGCTCCTTCTGACTCATAATAGGAAATTTCAGAGGCTGTTGCGGTACGATGAGAGAGAGAGAGAGAAACTGGATAGGAAAACCAAAAACCATAGACAATAGTTACAACAAAACTAGGTATCTCCAAGTACCCTGACATACAATTAGACAAGGTAAAGCCATACAGAGCCACATGCCTGGGAGATTAGGAGGCGTGACCTAGCGCTGTGCGTCTCAATGTGTGCAGCTCTCACACATCCTGTGGAGTGAGAAGAGAAGCTGCAGAGTGGGCACTGATGTAAATTTAAAGCCCCCACGAGGGAGGATTCTGGAAAGATGATGGTTGGGGCAGCAGATCTGGAATTTCTTTGAATCTCGAACAATTTCTCTCTCTCTGACATAAAACAACTCAAACCAAGATTGGTGATATTCAGGGCACCATCTTGTCTCCTTCTGACTCATAATAGGAAATTTCAGAGGCTGTTGCGGTACGATGAGAGAGAGAGAGAGAGAGAGAGAGAGAGAGAGAGCCCCCCCCCCCCACACACACACACACACACACACACACACACACACACACACACACACACACACACACAGAAACAGGAACAGCAGAAGCAAGAGTTCTGTGCATTTAGAAAAGCTACCCCAAACCACTTCTTTTTCTAAGAGTTTTGGAAAACTAATTTCATATAAAAATGAGCAACAGAAATGTATCTAGGTCAACACCCATACAAAGTTATTATAAGAAAAAAAAAGAATAAGGAACAGAACCAAATCCCCACAGATAGCAAGAGCATGCCAGAAAGTCATTCCAAAAAGGGATTAAAACATAATATTCCAAAATGAGCTAAGAAGCATTAATAAAATGATATAGACGTGAAAGAACAACAGAAATGAGAATTAGAAAAACTCAGACATGGAAAAAAGAATTCAGGGAAGAGTACAAGATTATAAAATAAATGAAGTCTGAACTAGAATGAACAGAAGAAGGGAAGGCAATGCTGATGTCTTAGGAGAAATGGAAAGGTGAAAGGGAGGAAAAATGTGATATAAAATAAATGAAGAGATAAAAAGTATTCAAGAGATAGGCAGAATATCGAAGGTAGGCAAAGAAGATTCAAAATAGGAATAATAGGAATCCTTGAAGAAAAAAAAACAAAACAAAATAAGGCAACTGAACAAATACTCACAACTTTCCTGAGATTGTAAGAAATGTATTTGAAACCCCCGATTGAGAGAGCACACTGCGTGCCTCAAAACATCAATGCACAACAACTAACACCAAGACATATTCTGGTCAGAAGGCTAGATTTTATAGAAGAAAGAAAAATGATCCTTTGAACTTCTAGGCAAAAATAGACTTATAAGAAAGAGAAAATTAGATGATCATTATGCCTTTTAATAACATATTTAAGATACTTAGGGAAAAAAATTGTGTGCCAAGGATTTTTATTTTCAGAAAAACATTGACTTTCGAGTATAAAGGGCACAGACAGCTTGTTATCAAACATGCAAGAGATTCAAGGAATATTTCCCATGAGCCCTTCCTGAGGCATGAGCTCGAGGCAACAACTCAACTAGACAGACATCCTCAGAAGGGCTGATGGTGACCATCCATCACAGAGCGGCTGATGAAACTAATAAGAAATGAGGGTGAAAGGGAATGGGTATTGGATGGAATGGCTATATGCTCAGATAACATAGTGTGATGATTAAATAAGAAATGGGAAAAGCATAGGCAGAAAACAATTTTAACTGCTCTCAATGATTATAAAACATATTAATGGTAGTCGTATGAGGATTGATATTCTGAGGCTGTTCTGTGTGCAATGAGGGATAGGTAAGTGAATAATTATGGACTATTTTAATTCTATCAATCCCTTTGACCTTGAGAATTAGGACTCAGAATGCGGGAAGAAGCAGGTTACAGCTATGTAGAGCACAGATTAAGAAAAATTTTCTGTAGTCCTGAATTTGAATTCCAAGTGTCAGTATGAACGCAACAGAAATATGTAAATTATTTTAAAATTACATATTTTATCTATGTATATTTCTATCAGTGTCTACCGAAGAGAAGAATGATTAACTCAATAGCAATGAGCATTTCTAGGCCCCAGATTGTGGTCTTAAAATATTGTTTTCCACCTAAAGAAACCAGGGCTTCTAAGGGAAATGACTAATGTCAAGCCTGCGGCTGGCAATGTACAGGGCAGGGCTGGGACACCTGTCATACCAGCTAGTGAGGTGACCTAGGCCCACGTCACAGGCCTCAGGAGCCAACTAAAGAGGGTCCCATTGGTCAAAGTTGGGACAATTTGGGCTTCAAAAGGATAATAAGTGAAAGAGACTCAAACTCATCAGATATGTATAAATTCATGAGTTTATAATGACATTTTAAAGAAAGCCAATTGACTACTTTGGGATGATACTAGAAAGGCAGCGAATTGTTTGAAAACTGGCAAATAAAGCAAAAGAATTAAGTATTTATCCTCCTTCCCTGGTATGAATGGTATCATTAGGGACTCTGGGCAACATGCCTTTAAAATATTTCTGAAGAGGAGGGGAATTGTCTCTAATAGACTTCAGTTACTAAATGACATGTATAAATGAGAGATTAAAATAGCACCATTTTGCAACCCCCTGTGAACTAAAAGGTCTGGTCATTGAGCGTCAACAGCTGCTAACATCACAAAAAGAGAAAAGAGAAAACCACTTCTGCTGGCCTCCTGATGAAAGAAAACACACTTATAGTCTCGCCCAAGAAATCACACTGGAGTCTGATCAAGTCTCTGGACACAGCTGCCAATTTTCAGGAAATACAGAGCACAGAGGAACGCACTCAATTATACTGCAGGGGTGCCATCAGCAAAATCCAGACTATGGGAAACTCTTCAAGGCATATTCCAGCTAAATTATAAGGAAAAGGGAGGGATGAGAAGGAAGCTAGTAGATTAAAATAGACTTGAAAGACACATCAAAAATTTTAAAACTGGTCAAGATGATGGTATCTGGGAATGCCCACTTGGGTGATAACACGATAAAGCAATGCAAGAAAATGATTACAGTAAAATTCAGGACATCATTCTTTTAGGGAGAAGGAGGGATTTATGATGGCATGGGGTATGTGGATGGGGATTCCAGAGTGGCTACCTATCTGTTCCTTCTTGACCTCAGCTATGTGTACAAGTATACATTTATTTTGTGTAATTTTCTACATTTGGTTTACCAAGAAAAAGTTAAAAAAGTCACCCATAGAACAATACTATTCATTGGGTATAGATTCATACAAAAGAATGTGAAAGCATACGGCTTGACAAAAACAAGACCCGTTAAGTTCATGTGTGTGGCTCCCTCCAGAGAGGTAGGCAGATGGAACTGGTGGCTGGGGAGACCAAAGGGTGTTTCAAGGTTATCCTAATTCAACAAAAGAAAGACCTGATGTATGTCAACATCTTAGCAATGGCCAATCTGAGACATGGTTAACACGTGTGTTGGTATAGTATCCTCTACCAGTCTTTAGTTTTGAATTTTAAAAGTTGAGCTTGTGAATGCATATTGTGACTGCATGCAAGAGATTCTCTGAAAACACTTTGGTGCGATTGGCACCGCATGCTGCATAAATCAAGGATACAATCACCTTCAGTCCAACTACTTTTACTTAGGAAAAATAATGTAGGCACCCCTGATGAATTAGTTCCTTAACATTAAATGAATGAAAACTTGACTGTCAAGGAAGTTTATACATTGTGACTGTTCACCTAACAGTATCTTTAAGAGATAAAAGAATATTTTCTTTCTGCTGAGATTGAAAAACAAATATGTGACTTGATTAAACCACCAATCAGCTCCTTCTTTTGCAGGATGCGTAAGGGATTTTATTGAGATCCAGTTCAAATGGATGGAATGCTCCCAGGTTACTTTTTCCTTTGGGGCTTTGAGATCAGTTGTCTTCTCAGCCTAATGCTTCATGTTAGGTCTGCGCATGCATCTGGGTATGTGTATGTGGTCAAATTAACAAACATTACTGAGAACTGTTCATTATTTTGAACATGACTGACCACCATTATTCTGCCACGATGGGAAAAGAATGTCAGAGGATAAAACTTCCTGGAGTGATTTTCTTGTGTTTGTTTTCATTTCTATGAGCCCCATAAGAATATCAATAGACAGAAATAACACAATCAGCTTCTTCTCCGCAGGCATGTGTAGGGTGTAAACTCATTAATGATAGCCCATGATGACCCATGATGAACCATGATGACCCACGAGTGAGAAAAAAGAGGGGGCCCTCAGCCGCAGGCCCCTTTCCATAGTTACCCGGCAGGTAGCTGCACAGTCTCTCCATGGAGGCCTGGACCGTGGAGTTGTGGACTTGAGCCAGCTGTTTGATCACAGACACCACCAGCACACAGCCTGTAGGAGAGAAGACCATGTCAGCAGGGCCGCACAGAGCCTGTGCCGGGGAGTCCAGGGAAGGAAGGGCGAATGTGTGTGTCCTCAAGAACACCAGCTCTTTCCAGAGCAGAGAACTCCTGTTTGCCATTCACCTTCGACAACCTACCAGGGGCAGAATTCACTGTGACTTGCAGTGAAACGTGATGTGTGGTAAGAAGATGGTGGGTTTGGGGTTAGACAGACTGGTTGTCAGCCAGCTTTGCCGCTTGTAAGCTACATGACCTTGGGGGAGCCAATGAATCTTGCTTTTTTTCTGTTTCTTTTGATCACATGGGAGGAAGGTGTCATTTAAAGGAGATTGTGCCAGGGTTGAGTCTTGCACCTAAATCTTGGACTTACCCTCCAGCCTATCTAAGCTTTGGTTTCCTCACTGCAAAGTAGATCATAACACGTTCCCCATGGGGCTGCCATGAAGATTAAATGAGATGACTGTGGGGGAGCACAGGAGACTTGGTTGGAAAGTTTGTAAGGAGGAAAATTCCGAAAAAAAAGGGTTGGGCTGAAGGCGGCCCGCCCTGGTTATCGGAATTCTGACTTAGGGGAGTTTGGCCGAAGGTGGCTGCCCCTAACTGTTCCTTGGCCTTTCCAAACAAGTCTGTGCACGTGCAGACCCTTGGGCGTTTACTGGAATCTTTATGACCGAGGCTGTCGGATTCCTTTAGCCAGGCAGTCCCTTAGCCCTCTCTCTTTCACAGCAAACATGTCAGAGTAATCATTCATCCGTTTCTCAGGGTCTGCTGGTCAGCCCCGGCAGATAACAGTGCAACAGAACGTACCTTTAAAATCATAATGCTATTGTAAAATATTATTTCACCTCACAGCTACAAGCACACGGCTTGAAGGCATGTGCTCATATAATGTGTCCAGAAGGAACCTTGGATTAAGATACTATAGAAATCTGAGAGTATCATGGTAAGTGAAATAAGCCAGTCAGAGAAAGACAAGTATCACATGATCTCACTCATATGTGGAACCTAATGAACAAAATAGATCCAGAGACATAGAAACATGGAACAGACAGACGACTCTCAGAGGGAAGGCAAGGGAAGATAGGAAGAGATCAACCAAAGAACTTGTGTGCATATATGCATAACCCATGGACATAGACAATAGTGTGGTGAAGGCCTGGGGTGGGGGGCAGGGGTGGGCTGGAAGAGGTCAATGGGGGCTAAAAGGGGACATATGTAATACTTTCAACAGCAAAGATTAAAAAAAAGACAGAAATATATGCCTTTGACTACCTTGATGTAGGATAAATGTAAAGTCCCAGAATTGCAAGACTGAAACTCCTAGAAGGTTCCTTGCTCTTCTGAACTGCTGGGGAGGGGCCTAGGGAAGAGGTTGGAGGGTCCAAGGTCAGTAGGTCTGTGCGAGGAGACTGCTAGGCCTCCCTGAGATGGGAGGGATGGCCCTTACTAGCAGAGCTGTTTCCAAGGAGGCAAAAGAAAGCTTCCTTCCACCCGAGATGGAGTTCCAGCCTGGCTCAGCAGCGAGCTCACCGCTACCCTCTGCTCCAGGAGCTGGGCCCACATTCACCTGCAAGGCGTCAGTAGAGCCCAGTTTCCACAGGCTCTTGCAGGAAGGTGGCGGGGAACAGGCATGAAGAGCACCATTGGGCAATGCTCTACAGAAAGAAGTGAGACCTGTAAGATGAGGGCTTGCCAGCAGAGACACCGCAGCACCGGACGCGGCGCTGGCATCCATTGCTCTGTGCCTTCAGGTGAAGCTGGGCAGAGCTGGGCATAGCAGATCCAAGCTAGTGCGATCTTGAGAGCCACGGCCTCACTCCTCGGAGAGCAACTCCTTGCAGGGGCCTTTCTCCACGCCAACTATCAAGGTCAAGTAGATGTGCTTTAATCTAGTCCATGCACCGAGGGCTTTATCACCTTGCAATGAACTTCGTAGCTGATACTTATTAGCCCTTTATGGTTGAGAAGCACTTTCATATATATTTTCTTTTATTTTAAAAATAAATTTTTAAAAAGGTAGATGCAATGCAATCTCATTTTAGAAAATTTAAAAAATATATAGAACAGCATAAAAAAGATGACCGTCACTCAAATCACCCAGAGAGAAACCAATTTCACTTTTATTTTAAATACATAAAATATGTTTAATTCATGTTCATATTGTCACCACGTATAATACGCTTTTACAGCCTGACCTGTCTCTGCCCTGCCTGTTAAGTTGGGTGGAACTAAATGAATTTTAACAGCAGTTGAAAATCAATTACAAATAATTATGTTGCAATGTGATAAGAGCTGGCAGTGGGGTACAGCTGAAAAAGGGGGAGGCTTTGAAATAAGAAAAACGAACTGGGGTTCCAATCCTGGCTCTGTCACTTACAAATGGAGCGACTGTGAATTCATGTGTAAGAGCTGAGTTAGGCCGTACCCTCCGTGATGGGGGATGGGCTCTTCCTCTCGCTCCGAGTGCCTGACAGAGGGCCTGCTTTGCAGCCGGGGGACTAGAGATGTTTGCTGACTTGAGGTGGGCTAACGGGAGATGCGGCCACCTGAGCGACATTGCCCTTGGCGGTTGCTGGG